AATTAGCAGTTAGAATAAACAGGAGAAAGAACCAGTATCTGTGCATTTAATACTTAAATGAACTTAAAGCCTAGGAGTGAAATTAAGGTTTGTTTTTGCTGGTCTGGTAAGTGAATTGACATTTTTTGGTGGCCGAGTAAGGTCCAATTCATTAAAGGGATCTTTAAGAGTTTTTTTTATTAACTATTAAAGAGGTTGAAGATTCCATGTTGAAAATGCGTTTAGTAATGCTTCTAGACGATTGATTACCATGTTGTTCGTTTTGAACATCACAACTTCTTTTCTTCAGTTTGTGAAGTGCTGAAACGGGGTGCGGTGGCGTTAATCTCTCCACTGGATCCTCTCATTCGTCAATCAGTGCGGATGGTGGCCAAACAATTCCATATTCCCTTAATCGAGACTCATTGGGATACCGATCGCTCCAACTCTCGTTTCGCTATCAATGTTCATCCTGCTCATGATGCATTTGGCGAAGCAGTGTTTGAGTACCTCTCAAGCTACTCAAAGTGGACTCATGTTGTTCTTATTCTTGCAGATTATGGTAGTAAGTTAACGAGTATTACTAATCAAAAGTATATGTTGCTCACATTTTCCAATGCTTACCTTGCATGTCATTAAATTTGTATTCTTTAGTTTAAGTTCTGTGAGCAACGAAGGTCAATCAAACTAATTTCTTGCAAGTTTACTAAGTCTTACCACTATGGGAAGGAGTGGTTTATAGTTGTTGAAAAACAGTAGGATATAAATAATAAAATTGGTATAACTAATGAATGGTACTGCATTCCCGGTTTTATTATTGCAAAAATTGTTGAATTTTTTAACTGGAACGAATCGTCTTTTGAGACGTGTTATTTACACATTCATTACCATTTAATGCTTTCAAATAGAAATAGTATTTTTTAAATATTTTTTATCAAGATTTGGGACCATGAAATCGCACTTTCCTAACTTCGCTCTCTCTCTCTCTCGTGATCATGAAAATTTACTACAAATAATTTTATATATGAATATAGAAAAATCAATACTTGTAAAGTTCAAATTTAGAATGTGCTCTTTGCCTATTGTTGTGGCTTTCTCGTTTGTAACATATTGGACTACCTCGATGTTGCCACTCATTAGAACTGTAAAGGATTTCATCTTGTTATGCAAAATGTGCCTAACATTCTTCACAGTTTCATGATCGCATATATATGTTGCAAGGGAATTTATTTATAACCATATGGTTGCTGTAAATCAATTTTACTGTGCTTTCCAGTTAAGGAGAGAATTTTCAAACAATTACTTGATCGAACTTTGGAGTTTCATTACTTCCTCTACGTTCTAAAAAGGGAGTTCAAAGTAAAATTTTTGAAATTTTCCTGGTTTCTTAATTTTTTTGGGTACTATAGT